ACTTCTAGTAGCAAGCTTCCTTGACCTTGGATTCAGGTGCACAGAGCACAGCTCACACACGCCCCCACCCCATCACTGCTGATGCCAGATGGGTGTCTCTCTCTTCTCTTCAAATGACACAGCCCACCCCTATCCCATTACCCCAGACTCACTACCACTGTTACCTTTAATAGCAAAAGGTTGCAAACCACTAATTCAGACCCTCATTTACAGATGCTTTTGTTCATTTCTTCTTCTTTAACTTGACCGTATTTAATAAAATTTAATTACTAAAAGCTCCTTCAGGGTACAAAGCTACTTTATTTGGACAAAGTTTGCTACATACACAGAAAAGCTCAATATGCATTTCCAGCCAGCCCAATCCCAAGCACGTGGTAATTACAGCCAAAGCTTCAGAAACTTACTGAGACACAGATCCCGTTCACAGTAGTTTTACATGTGGAAAACAAACAAGTATTCTAAGAATACTTGCACATTACATGAAAAGTAAAAATATTATATACTTAAAAATTTTACTCAAAAAATACTTTCAAACTATTAGGTTTTAAATACTGAGAACACTTAACTTTAATATTTATTAGAGCAAGAATCAGAAAATTATTACACACAGTATATACCCTTTTACAGAAAACATATTTGCACGTTTCCGAAAGCTACTTGTAAAAATTTTACTTGTAAAGTTTTTTGAGTAATATCACATTTTGTACATCACGGTAATACGATAATGCTTTTAAGGGGTACTTTTTTTTTTTAAGTAAGACAAACCAGGATAGTCAATGTGGGTTCATGGTTAACCTGAAATTTGGCCTTTTTTTGACAAATCTTATTTTCAACATCCAATGGACATGATAACTTTCTCTGCACATGATCTGCTTTGACTAGAGTCCAGTGGAGGGCACAAGGATCTCTTTAACTACTCCATTATTATGACCCCAGCAACCAGCAAGCTTACATAGAGGTCAGTTGTGGTTCTCCCTGTGCCTAAGGCACCATGAAGTCTATTCCTGGCCTCAAGAGAATCAGGTGGTGCAGAGAAAGAGGGGACTGCCCTACCCAGCAGAGGGCCCAGCACAGGGCAGAGATACAAAGAAGACTACCATTAACATCACAGCTAAAAGACTGTATTTTAAATACAGTGCTGTGAATCTATATAGGCAGACCTTACACAGCCCAGATCCCCAAGTCTAGATCTGTTTTATTTCTACATCAGTACATGCAGGAAGGGAGATGGAAATGAAAGGACACATACTCTTACAGTAAGGCAACTGCCAACCTCCCATCATAGCCAGAATGAAACAGGACAATGGGAAGGAAGAAGACTGAAATGGTGTGGTTTCAATGCTACCTTGACCTAACCAAGGGGCAAAAACTGGGCCATATTTAGAAGAGCTGAAAAAGAAATGTAACACAATTACCTGGAAGGGATAAGTGGAACTGATTTAACAGGATGTTGGAATCCTGTATGCTCCATGTTTTCCTCACATTTAAGCCAACGGTGCCAAAAAAGATGGACAGATAACAAGTATCAGGGCACAGATAGCTAAGGCTCCTTTCTCAGGGGATATGAAGGGCACATGGGAGACCGATGTTGTAAAAGCCCCAAACACTGTATTCCAAGAGGAAATTTATAAATACCTTCAAGTCCAAAATACATGATGTTTAACTTTCAGTCAAGTGCAATGACCCAGGTTCCCTCCAACAGTGTGAGTAGTCAAGAGCAGACTGTTCTGACAGAAATGTTCTTAGAGGCCAGGGTGTGTTTTCTTATATTAAAGATACATTTTATGAGGTGGTTTTCTCTATATATAGGTCCAGTTTGTAACACAGTCAAATTGTTTCATGTACAAAAGCAACACAGTCTAAGACGTTTCCAGAGTGTGCTGGGTTGTCAATCTGATGATGCTCTTCCATCTCTTTACTCAGTCCCCAAATTAGTTTCTTCAGATTTCTTGATTTTTCAAGGATGATCTTGTCAGCGAAGCTGTATTTTGCAGGAAGAGTCCCAGTGAACAACATAACAAGCAGGGGATCTGAGATTCCAAAATGAAGATTAGAGCCACTCAAATAGAATTTTCTGTTAAAACACATTTCTAATAAGATAAATTAAATATATCCATTCTGTGTCAAAATATGAATGGAAGACAGTTTTGTCTAATCTTATAAATGGCTTAATAAGGTTCAGAAACAATCATACATTCAGGAACTTGAAAGAAGTTAAGAATGAATTATCTGGGAATCTCAACACTTTTCCTGAAAATGTGTTATAAATTCAGAGTCACAAAAGTAACAGAATCCCACCCAGTTACTATGTTAATTTGAAGTACACATTTTACACCATTAACGTGACATCCTAATACATGGGGAGAAAGTCACACTTGGGTAGAAAACCTTTAAAATAATTAGAGATCTTAAAAGAAATATGCTCATTTTAAAGACAAAACATTAATATTCAACTTCCTATGGAATAAATGCCCCTTTACCAGCAGGAAGCAGGTACTAGCTCGGAGGCTGTGCCACACCTTCGTGCCTCAGGCTCTATTTTTACCGCTGTACTTGTGGGGCAGCTCTTTGTGGACCATGTTCACTCCATTATATTACAAAGCTCTGGACTTGTGACTTCAGTTCAATGTGTAAGGCAGTGAGTGTCCTTCAAGATTTGATGCTCCCTTCAAAGGCGACAGAGAACCCCTGACTGAGAGTGACAATAAAGTGAGAGCAAGGTCAGAAGAAAAATGAAGATGATCTTTTAGATCAGGGCTTCCTGACCTCTTCCTGACCTGACAATCAAGGGCAGTCCCTCTACCCTCAGAAATTGTAGTCTTATTGGAGCAAGCATCCATAGTTACCTTCCGATTTTCAAAAGGGGGTTAAAAAGTACCAAAATACAAAGAACCACTAGGTTCTAGGGTAACCTTCTCTCTGGTTCCCTACGTACTTTCTGCACCCAAATTTACGAAGATCTGTGTTCCTCCCCAGGGGTAAACAGAGTTAGATTTCTATACTTTCAAAATGATGTGCCAGACTGTGGTGCACAGTGACCCAAGAAGGTATACATTTTCCCACTAAAATTCTGTTACAGTACAACTAAGGACAACAGGTTTTACCTAGAAGTTTCTAGAAAGCAACCATCAAATACTGATTATATTCATGCCATCAATTCTCTATTATGCTCCGTATTCTACATTACTTTCTAAAGTTATACAATAGGACAAAAGATCCATTTTTTATTATATTTTCTCTAAGACTGAAGATACTTATCTTGAATTATGTTCATCTTTGAGCTGCATACCCATTTATAACCCACTAAAATAAAAATCAAACTCATTGTTAGGAAGTACATTAATATTTCCCCAGATCACTTGTCACTACCACTTGCTAGTGTGAACTGCTCAACTGAGTATCAGAATGCCTGCTGTCCCAGGATTTCATATACTGCCTCCTCATCTCCAGGAACTTCACTTCCTTCCCTTAATACACTTGGGTCAGCTGTGTGAGAGTTTATTCCCCACTCCCACAACCGTTTTTTATTCTTGGGCTCTTACATTTTTCCCTTTCTTGGGTCTCTTTCCTTTGTACTCGAAGTGTTCAGAATCTAAAAAGGTTTTTAAAATATTCATTCCAGTGGAGACCAAGTTTTTTCCTGCCTGTCTAATTCCTTCTGGGTATATCAAATGCTGAGGCCTAGTCAATACTGTGGCTAGAATTGGCTAAGAGGAAACACCTCTATTGACAAAAGTATCACAGAAGGAGAGTATTTTAAAAGCTAGTTGTAATGGGAAAGTAGCAAATAGGCAACACACATTTAAATTAAAATGTAACTCAATTTTAAAAAATCTAATGTTTTCATTGTGCCATCTATTATATATATATATATATATATATATATATATATATATATATAT